AAACTGCTAATAATAAATCGGAAATTATTAAAAAGGTATAATAAGAAAAAATAATTTTCTGTACAATGAATTTAGCCGGAACAGAAAATGTAAGTACTGCATGGTCGGTCAAATTGAGCGTAGTATTTATTACGCTTACTATATCATTGCGGTATTGCAGGCAATGCATATGGAGTAATTGCATGGTCCCTGTGTTTAGGCGGAACACTGCCGTAAATAGTAATACGGGATATAAAATGTTAACTGATTAGTAATTGAATAACAAATTATTACCCATTAGACAAAATGAAAAATATTAAGTAAAATTTTAAATGAAATAGAGAATTGGAATCGAAGAAGATTAATTATTTCTGCAGTGATATAACAAATTATTTTAAACAAAATGTTTCATAAAATCGAAAGACGTACGAATGGTTTATTTTCAAGTTGTAGGGTGTTGAAATTAAAAATTTCTCATTTTCTGAAATATCTTTCGGGAAGTTTAAACTGATGAAACTTAAGCCACCGATTTATGACCATTTTAAACTAACACACAGTTAAGTGAATTGAAAATAATAATTGTTAAGCTCTTCGTTCTACAAAAACAGTTGTGGAATTTTTTGTTAGAAATTCCCAAATGTAAGTTCCCATAATCCATATAAATATAGCTACTTTCCAATAATTTTAATAATCTGTAATGTAAATAATTTTTTTGTTTTGACTAATGATATGTCAAAATAAAATACGATCTTATTTATTTCATCTATAACATTACTGTGTACAAATTCTTAATCAAATTTTATAGACACCGGAATGTTTACATTAGAATTGTTGTGAAAACATAAATATTAGTATTTTCATAATTCTGTAAAGGCTTCTAAACTCTAGGCAGTTTCAGTTTTGAATAGAACTTTCCGCTCATCGATTCTGAGGAGAAATAAAATATTGACTATAAATAATGAATGATAGGTCTAAGTTCAAGGTTGCGTTAGGCGATAGATACCGACTTGAATTTTCAAACGCGTAAAATTTACTAGTTTGCAGTCGTTATTGCAAACCACTGTACAATGAGCTAGAAAATTGCATTCTCTGTTTTATATACTTTCAGCGGAAATATGAATGGTGCGTTTCTTATTACTGTGTACAAGTACAAATCAAAGGTTGATGTTCTTTCAACATGTAAACACAGTTTGTGTATTGTTTGATTACGATTATATGTTATTAATGATCGGAAGTGTCGACGTATTATTTGTGTTACCTTACACAAACATGAATTTTTAAGCTCTTCGAAAACTGTATTAATCTTTTTCGTCTAACAAAGTATACCATCAATGTCGATTGTTATTACTACAGCTGTTACTTTTATTTATACGACGTCAGTCAAGAAGCAGATTCGGTGTCAGAAATTGGCCTGTTTATTTAGTTTCCGACCGACATTAACATATCGCATATCGGTAATCTATGGACAACTACTTTAGGAGCAGATGGTCATAATTCCAATGTTAATCTGTCGTTAAACAAGATTGTTGCATAGTACAACTTTTACGAAATATTTGTATGTTAATTTTTCAGTCACTTTATTTTGATTTTATACAATAACTTAATCAAAAAGGCAAATCGCCTCTATCTTACGCTAATTCATGAACCACTGCACCTCTTGCATAGCTAGCATATTACACCTCGCCTCTACAATACGAATAATACACACTGCTATATTTGGAGATGTATAGCTGTTAGTCCTGATGCCTTAAGCTAGAATGAGAGAAGGTGACCTTTTTAAATAATGGTTTCGTTCGACATTTAGATAAATCAGTTTATTTCGTAACATTCTTACAGTTTTTTTTTCTCTCTAGATGCGCATTGTTTGACATCAGCCACAAATTCCCATAGAGGATAAAGGAAATTTTATAGTATACGAGATTGATTGCATTGTTACTTTTACCATACAAGGTGATACAAAAATGCGCGGAAATCGTTCCAGAACAAATTTCTCACAATGAGAATGCAACTAATTTGCATTTTGTGTAGCTAAATGCTTTGCTTGTACAGTGTGACCTTTAAAGAACTTGGACAACCCTCGAAACATTTTCTTTGGGACTCAGAATTTGAATAGTTTTTTAATACAGGATGTATTTAAATGCAGGAGCACAAATGGTAGCTTGATAATCTTGAGCCCAAATGTACTTATAATCAACCAGTGGCAGACAGATTGGGAGACGCCGTAAGAATTTCAACGACACTGAGTACTTTATAAATTCCATAAGATGACACAGCCACATAAAAAAAAAGTTGCCTATACTTTTCATGCGATAGCGACTGATGTTATCCGTAGTATTTTTGTCTCCTGTCACGAATTCGGTGTCAGAATTGAGCTATCACATCACAGGAATTCACGAAAAAGTGCTAGGAATATAAAATAAATTATATATTTAAATGTTTATTTATATGGTTAAGACCCCGCCGAACGTGAAATCCGCGGTCAAAATTGATGGTTCTTTTTCTAACTTCAAAAAAACGGGTCAATTAAGGTCAGAATCAGGAATTTTAAAAAAATAGCAGATTCGCGCCAAATTTGGTATACGGGGGTTTCTGGGGTCGCTGATCACGGATCCGAGCTCATCCAAGATGGCCGACCAAATTCTCAAAAAATAACATTTGCTCCAAAGAGTGACCGCAAAATCCGGCCGTTTTTGCGTAGTGTGTAGCAAGAACGGGGAAGGTTGTACAGAGGTCTCCGTGGGCTTAAATTGATCGTCATGAAAAATCTAGGTTAGCATAATTCGATTTTTCCAATATTTGACCGACTTACCCCTACTTAAGGGGTGGAAACCACCCCTAAAACAAGAAAAATGAGAAAATAGTCTTTAAATTCTTGGTAAAATTGGGGGAATTTCACATGGCAAAAGTAAAATCAGGAATGTCCTTCTAAAAATGCTCATGATAAACCCACCCCCCGCGTGGGGGTAAAACAAAAGATCGAATTATGGGGCCCGTCTTTCGTATCATTTGTCGGGTAGTGGGAAAACAAAGTACATCATGAAGTGGATATCATTCCCCGTCTGCTATCGGCAATAGGGGTGGTTTTACCCCCACGCGGGGGGTGTTTTTCACCTTGAGCATTTTTAGGAGGGCATTCTTGATGTTACCCTTGCCATGTGGAATTCCGCCAATTTTTACCCAGATTTTGGTGACCATTTTTTCTGTTTTCTTGTTTTAAGGGTGGTTTCCACCCCTTCAGTAGGGGTAACTGATCAGAATCCGACAGAAGAACGAATTATGGGGGCATGTATATAAGGAAGAGTGGCACAAAAAAGGCAATTCATGAAGGGAACATCATTTGCCGCCGGTTTTCGGCAATAGGGGTGGTTTTACCCCCACGCGGGGGATGTTTTTCACCTTGAGCATATTTGGAAGAACATCCCTGATCTCTTCCTTGCCATTCAAATTCCCGCCAATTTTTATCAAGAATTGATCGACGATTTTCTCACGTTTCTTGTTTTAGGGGTGGTTTCCACCCCTTAAGTAGGGGTAAGTTGGACATATATTGGAACAATTGAATTCTGCTCACCTGGATTTTTCATGACGATCAATTTAAGCCCACGGAGACGTCTGGACGACCTTCCCCGTTCTTGCTACGCAAAAACGGGCGAAAAAATGTTTTTTTTTTGCGGTTACTCTTTGGTATACGGAGGTTTTCGAGATCGCTGATCGCGAATTCGAGGTCAGAATTACGAAATTCATTTTGTAATATTTTTGTTTACTTTATATCCTGAGTACCCAATCAAGTAACCTTCTGTTTTTTCACCTATATCTTGTGCTTTTTTCTGTAAAAGATCTATTCAGGGGTTTTCTGCCTAATCTCAGGTAATCACGTACATACATTGGTAATTGATAAAAATTTTAAAAACGAATTTTGTAAATCTGATCTCGGATTCGTGATCAGTGACCCCTAAAACCCCCGTATACCAAATTTGGAGCGAATGAGTTATTTTTTTAAAATTTGGTCGGCCATCTTGGATACGCCATCTTGAATTTTGCAAAATTGACCTCGGATCCGTGATCAGCGACCCCGAAAACTCCCGTAAACCAAATTTGGTGCGAATCCGTTATTTTTTGAAAATTCATAATATCTGACCTCAATTGACATTGACATTTTTTTTTTTGAGGTTCGAAAAGGAACCATCAATTCTGACCACGGATTCACGTTCAGCGAGATCTTAATCATATAAATGAACATTTGAATATAGAAAAAATAAATTATTTGTATTTTTCTTAACATTTTTTCGTGAATATTTGCTAGTTTTGACCTGTTTTTTGAGGTTAGGAAATTCCTGTGATGTGATAGCTCAATTCTGACGCCGAATTCGTGATCAGGAGGCAAAAATACTACGGATAACATATGTTGCAAGAAAAGTACAGACAACTGTACAGACTTGTGTAGCTGCGTTATGATTATCTAGTTGGTAATCCATGGTTTGCTGTGACTTTTCTGGAAGCGATTGTTCTGAAAATCATTGTAGTAATTTATTAAACATGTAGCCAATGTAATTAGTATGACCATCCATAGTGCTTGTGCCTCAAATTCCATCAATGTATAATGCAAATTATTTTGTCTGCTTTTTCTTAAAAGTAAAAATGATTTTTGAAATCCTCATTCCTTTCTGAGCAAATGTGGTGTAACATATATTTTCCTTCAAAAATATTCAATACAAAACCTGTACAGACGCCACTGGCAAAAATAATAAAATTGTTTGTACATCAGAAATACCCTGTATTTTTATTTCAGATTACAAATTTAGGAAGCATTGGGAATGCCTGAAATAGAAAAATTAGCCATTTACTAATACTGCCGATAACTAGTATATAAGAGTATATTTTCTAACAATTTCTCTCTTACAATCTTAAGATATTTGTCTTCTAGAAACACGCGGCTCAAAAAGTTGTTTAGAGGGGGTCTTCTAATTGTCCATACTCTATTTGTTCCATCAAATATTTGTTTATAACGATTACTTTTTTTGCAGGTACCCCAGCGGCGTTCACTAACATCAATAACTGGAACGGTCATCAGAACGGCACCAACAACTGTCTTAATGGTTCTTTAAATAATACCCTGACAGGTCCCACAGTGCCCGTGCAAGACAAATATGCTGCCCTTAAAGACCTAGACAATGAAATCAAGTCACAGAAGAATCTAGAGTGGAGCTCTTCGGGTTCCAATGGCTCTCTTTACAGTTCCCCAACGCCCACTGGTTCCATGTACAGTTCACCATCGCCGCAGAGTTCCATTTTTGGTTCTCCTAGTCAAGGTAAGCAAAATATTTTGTTGATCTATGAACAAATGAAACTTTTTTCATATAGACACTTTAGAATATTACGACTAATATATGTTTTTTTAAATTAATTTTATAGGTCAGTTCCTTAGTGCCTTTCCAGGTGAAAATGGTACCGCCGGTGTATCGAATCCATTCAGTAATGGGGGCGTTAACTGGGGTACCAACCTCAATGGATTCCAACAGAACCAACCACCTTTTGCGAATCCTTTTATGGATACGGGCAAAATGAATGGTTTTTCCCAGGTCTTCCAGCCCATTGCCCCGTTTCCTATCAATACGATGCCAGTCGCCGTTAACGGGACGAATGGGTGGGCACAAAATCCATTCAAGGTAACTTTAGTCGGTAGAGAATCGACAGAAATGTTATTATTTATTCCTTATCTGTTTATAGGTAGGGACCACCGGGAATGTGAACTCGAATAATCCATTTTTATGAGAGATCCAAAGCCGTCGAAAGTGTGCCCTACAAGGATTTCCTAGTATATTTAACTTTAGCCCATGTTAACTCATAATAAAGTGCATAATATATTATATATCTCTCTATCCACCTCCTAACTTTGACAGACGAAAGAGTAATTATAGCAAATATTTTTATTATTGTCGTCTGATTTTATTTTAGCTTTGTACGTAATTTATTTTTTGTTATGGTGTATTTATTTATTGTTTGGTCTGCACCCTCGTGCCCAATGGGAACTTGTATCAAAGTTATGCCAAAAAAGCTTTCGTCAATACATAACTGTTATAATTTATAGGTTAGGATAAGCTAAAATTATACAAGTAGATTTAAAGTACGCTTATTATGCGAAGAAACCAATAACGGTTGCCTTGTTTTAGTTATTAACATGGAAGCAGTTCCAAGATCAAAAGAATCGGTAACAAATTAGATTATATTTTTTTCTGTAATCTGTTTGGTTTTTATGTGGAAAGTGGCCTTCGAGACTGTTATTGATTTTTGAATAAGAATGACATATTTACATTTATGAATATTCTTTAATCTGATACACATTCTGTGATAAAAGAATTAATTACACGTGTTGAAACATGAGAAAGATCTAAATTTAAAGAAGTATTTTTGGTGTTTTTTGGGAAACTTTACCACCTCCGATAAAACGATGTGAACAGTTTTTCCGTCCTGGTTATTGTAACTTGTATACAACATTAACATAAGATTTATTATCGCAAGCACAATTTACTCTGTATATTATTACTTGTCAAAAGGTTGTGTAAATAAAAATATAGTAACACCAAAATCGGTCTTTTATGTCCTTTTGTTCCTCCCCTGAGCCCTTTTAAAAAAATGCTCACGTACGGCTAACTAAAATTCAAATATTAGCAATATTTTCTTTAAATCTCAAAATTGTAATTCTGGTGTACGATTTTTGTTGCAGAGGCAAAATTAATAAAATGATAAGGCTAAATAACGAGTAGAGCACTTTACCACTTCAGTGCGTAAAGAATGTGAAAATCTCGTACGTTAATACAGGCTTCTATAGGCCAGGAAAAAGAGCTGGAAAATGGCTATTTCGCGACTTTTTGTTTCTGCAAGTTAAATTTATCACTATAGATGTTAAATATTATGTACAATAACATATTAGTTTCCACGGTCATAAAAATAGGGGGAAGATTGTTTACAGGGTGGTTAATTGTATAATTTTTATGTAAATTCACGTTTTTCGCTTATAATTTTTTAAAACTAGCCCACGAGCGTCAAAAAATATTGATTAGATCAAAAGTTATAAACAGAAGAAATTTATTTATGACTTGAATTAATCATTTATAAACTGCGTTATTATTACCAGAACATTTTGGCATCGGATCCTCTCATTCCCTATCACTGTCTAATAACACACAAAATCTGGAATCGGTAAGTTGAATAGTTTACAAGTTATGGCCTTATAAACAAATTAACTAATTATTGGTCTGGACGATCCCGAGGATCTTCCACAATCGCACTGATTTTTTTCATGGTAGATTTCATAAGGGGTCATCCATAAATTACGTAAGGGTTCAATGGGGAGGGGGGGGCTCAACATTTTCTTATCATTCCTTACTTGGGGGGGAGGAGGGGGAATGAAATTCTTACGTAATAAAATAATCTACATTAATTATAGCTATAAGTAAACCTAAAATGTGACAACTGTGACAGAGCTAAATTTTATTCGTGGGTTTTTCGTGACCAAAAAAGTCGATATTAATTTTTTTCTCCTCTAATATAACAAATATATTAATAAATGTTATAATTAGAAGTTGTGAAGCTTTTTTTATAATATATATTATGGGGGTGGGGGAGGGGGGTTATGAAAAATCTTACGGTTTCTTTACATGGGGGGAGTTGAAAATGTGAAAAAATACCCTTACGTAATTTATGGATGACCTCTAATAATACATTCAAATCTATCATTTTTTTTTAATTTCAAATTTGCAACCTGGAAAGTTTTTTTATTTTTAGCCTTAGTTGCAAAATGAAATATACGACGCACGCGCGTGATATAGTTCGTCAAGATTCGTTGAAAAACAACGAAGTTACAGACTGTCAAAGTTGACGGCCCATTGTTAAACAAATTAGGTTGGTAGCAGCAAAAAAAAATACTGTCATAACCGGCATCCCGAGTACTTTTCCAGATAAAAATATTTTATTTGTTTTATGTTAAGTGCATAAGAAATATTGTCAAAAGTCGGTCGGTCACTTGATTTTCGGTGAGCCGGAAGGGTGGGGGAAGCGAACGACAGTAAATCCGAAGCAAATGACGATAATATTCATAGTCATGTCGTTAAAAAAGCGAAATTTGCTTGAAAATAATATATTTTATCTACGACCACTACCGTAAATACTTAAAAACACACCGTCTGCAATCAATGTAAGATTCCTATTACGTACGGTAAAAATATCGTACAGTTTTCCTAGCAACCGCTTAGCAACGGTCAATACAAAACTGTTTGTATTGACCGTTGCTAGGCGGTTGCTAGGAAAACTATGATTTTTTTACCAAGCTGTGCGATTTTTTTACCGTACGACATAATGGGAATCTTGCATTGATCGCAGAGGGTGTGTTTTTAAGTATTTAAAGTAGTGGTCGTAGGTAAAGTATAGTACGTAATACGTGGTGTAATGCAATTACGCACTCATAGAATTACGCACTCGCCGCTACGCGGCGTCGTGCGTAACTTTTCCATTCGTGCGTAAAATGCTTTTTACAACACTTATTACGTAATATACTATGACAGTCTGTAACTCCGTTGTTTTTCAACGAATCTTGACGATTTTTATTTTTAACTTACAGCTCTTCATAAGCTTTCCGAATATGTAATAATGTATGACTATATCACGCGCATGCGTCGTATATTTCATTTTGCAACTAAGGCTAAAAGGTAAAAAAACTTTCCAGGTTGCATATTTAAAATTTAAAAAAAAATTATAGATTTCAATGTATTATTATGAAATCTACCATGAAAAAAATCAGTGCGATTGTGGAAGATCCTCGGGATCGTCCAGACTAATAATTAGTTACTTTGTTTGTAAGGCCATAACTTGTAAACTATTCAACTTACCGATTCCAGATTTCCTGTAAGTTATTAGACAGTGATAAGGAATGAGAGGATGCGATGCCAAAACGTTCTGGTAATAATAACGCAGTTTATAAATGTTCAATTGAAAAGTCATAAATAAACTTCTTCTGATTATAACTTTAGATCTAATCAATATATTTTTGTCACTCGAGGGCTAGTTTTGTAGGTCTTTTAAAGACGAAAAAAAAGTACGTTACTGTTTTCTCGTGGAAGTGAACGGAAAAATGTTATAAGCGAAAAACGTGAATTTACGTAAAAATTATACAATTACCCACCCTGTAAACAATCTTCCCCCCATTTTTATGGCTGTGGAAACTAATATGTTATTGTACATAATATTTAGCATCTATAGTAACAAATTCAGCTTGTCGAAACAAAAAATCGCGTCCAACTTTATATTTCCTGGCCTATCTACATATAAAGAATTTAAAGTTCCATGATTTTACAAATTGTTATACCGTGCCCTATGCAATTAGTTGACAAACTTACATTGCACTTCCTTAGTCTTAGTTGAGGTTCTCTGAGCTGCCCTGTCAGAGATAGATTAGGTATCAGATCCCCCAGGACTGCCATGATGTTAATTTCAGTTCTTGTTCTAAGCCCGCTGCAAGCGGAACTGCTACCTAAACAATGGAGAGAAACCAACAACAAAAACCGGAATGAACATCAAGGCTGGTTTAAGAGTTCTGATAATGAATCTGACCCCCACAGAGCCTAGCCCAAGAATGAGGATAGGTCGAAGGTAACTAGTTAAAGTGCAATGTAAGTCCATAAACATGGGTGTAGCTATAATTTTTGTTTAGAGTGTGCCCGGGGCTGCAAACCTATGGAGACCTCTAAAAAATAGTTATTTATGTATCTAGTGCGCGAAATGCTACTTTGGTGATCGAGAATTGAATTTTTTAACGAGGCGAAGCCGAGTTAAAAAATTATTCGAGACCACCAAAGTAGTTCGCGCACGAGATGCAAACAATATTTTTTCTACAAACGTCAAAATCTATCTCTTAAAAATATTATAAATAAGTAAAATGCCTAATTTATTATAGAAAATACTGTTGAACTGGCTTAAAATGTCTTTCCTAATCAAATTTTCACTGTTACATGGAAACAAAGTGGCTGTTGTTGACAACAATAATAATTATTTTAAAGTGACGTTTGTGCTCGCGTCTTCAATTTTTAAGTGCCAGATATTATTTAAAATAATGGAAATTGCTAGTGACCATGAACTAAGTAGTACCCCACCTAATTTGGCTAATAATAAATATTGGTTCGTGTACTGGTTGTACGATTAATGTTAATATTATAAATAATAACTAAAGTTATTGTAAAATTCTATCATTATTTTAAAAGTGTTTAATTGTTATTCATTTAAAAATAAATAATAATTTGGAGTTTTGCTTCATTTTTTCAAAGATTGAAATACAAAACTCTTATTAATTTACATGCAGTGTGCGAAATACTTCGCACCCTAGTGCGCGAAGTATTTTGGGTATGGTGTCATGGTAACGTAAGAATCCGAAAAAAAGTGTAACCGCATATTGTTGTCAATGCGCAAACCTTGTCATTTTTTGACGTTTGTAGAAAAAATATATTAAATTTGAACCTTTTTTCTAGGGTAGGTCGTGCACACCCCTGCCCCGCCCCCCTAGCTATGCCCATATCCATAACAGGAAGCAACCAGATATATAGGCCATGGTATAACTTGAAAGACCATCATCTAAATATCAGCCATGAAAGCCTTAAAGCTTTTCAGGCTGTTTCAAATTCGCTTCTCACTACAGGGATCTCTAAAACGGTAAGAGATACAAACTAGCTTAAATGGGGGCAAAGTTGCGTAATCAGGGGACCAATATTATGCCTCTAAAAAATCAAGGCTAACATAATAATTAGTTTTCGAAATATTTGAAAAAAACGAAATTTTGGAAATCCGTTTTTGTTTAATTTCAGCCTTGTTTGAGACGATATTGAAAAAAGAACACTTTCTCATGACCATTTTTTGCACTCTATCGAATGGCATAATTTCATTTTCATTTCAAGCCTTCATGACCCCCAATACTGTACTGCCTCAGCCCAAACCAGATTCAGACGTTTTGTTTTGAAAAATTCATCTTCAGTATATTCGTTCCAAATTTATCTAACTTTTTTATTTAGATTTCTTTGTTTATTGAATTATCGTACACTCTAAGTGTCGTCTGACCCCGTGAAATCAACCTAATCATTTGAACTATTACCACCAAGCATTAAAATAAAACATTATTAGAGTTTTATTCCCCTCTGCCCATAGCTATTTCTAGGCTTCTCGAGTGCTCAAAATTCAAACAAATTCCTATCTATTTTGTTCAGGATATTCATACAAATACATCCCTGTAGTAAGAAGCGAATTTGTAACAGCCTGTACAATCCAATAAAATTATGCTCAGCTTATAAGGGCCGCAAAAAAAATTCCATACAGGATAATTTTTTCACGGTGTCTTGGGGACTGCCTCCTAAGTATCCAACCAAAGGATCACACTCAAACTCCTGGTACGAGTTGCGCTATGGGGATGGTTTTCTAAATATTTTTTTAGAGCAAATGACCTTAATAAAAATTGTAGAGGATTAAATTCTGAACAACTTTTCCTTATAATTTTTTTTGGATGTCTAATACTTAACGAGTTATTGCACATTATGTGACAAAAATTGGGCATGCCGCAGGGGTGGTCTTGTAAACATGTTTTTACAAAAAATGAGCTTAATAAAAGTTGTAGAGGATCAAATTCTGAACTTTTCCTTATAAAAGTTTTTCGTATCTCTAATACTACTTGTGTTGCTCCAAGTGTGGCTTTGCCAAAACCGAATGGAGGCGATGTGGTGTTGCATCCACTGAACGCATGAATAAAGTTCAGCTAATTTGTTTCAAATATTTGCAACAAATTCTTGAATAAATGATTGAAACCTAAACATGAGCTGATGCAGCCTGTCAACTAACCTAACACACACATACTATCTATTATCACATGACAGCCTAACACCACACCACTTACCCCACTCCCACTGTTGCCAACTCTGTCAAAACATGTTTACAAGACCACTACTGCAGCCTGCGCAACTTTTTTCATATAATGCGCAGTAACTCGTTAAGAAGTAGATATACAAAAAACAAATTACATGGAAAAGTGTCCTGAATTTAATCCTCTACACAACTTTGATTAAGGTCATTTTGCTCTAAAAAAATGTTTAGGAAACCACCCTCATAGCATAAGTTGTACCAGGAGTTCGAGTGCAATCTTTTATACTCAGAAGGCAGTCTCCAAGCAACCCTGAAAAAATCATCCTGTTTAAAATTTTTTTATAAAATGATATCTTTATTGGATTAATAATATCTAAAGACATTTAAATGAGCCTCATCATCAAAATGGTGCCTATAAAATTAACTTTATTAAACATTTTCCTAATTTATGTGATAATAGCTTAAGAAAAATTCAAGTTTGCGAAATGATTTTAATGGGTTGAAGCAATGTGAGACATGAATAGTCGAATACTTAAACGAAATCTACTGTTACAGCTGTCGTACTGGGTATTTTTATGACGATTTTGGTATTGTATGTGCAATATTCAAATATAAATGGTCATTAATGAATAATTTCGATTATATTGGCAGAAAATAGAAAGCTATTATTCCAAATCCCGTCGCAAGGAAGAATAAGATAAGATAAGCATACCGTAGCAGGTATTACTATACTTACCTGTAAGAAAGAAGTTGCCAAAAAATAATACTGAATTAATACAGCGCAGTTGATAACACACACATTTGAAACATTGTGCAAAAAAATGTGTTAGTAACTAATAGAGCTCTGCTTTTATAATTAAATCAGTTACTGTGTTTCCTAAAATTTCTTAATTCTAATTCATTACATGTAATTTGTAAGTTTCACGTTGAGGGGATACCACTCTCCACAATTCATGTACATTTTTTTAAGGAAGTCATGGTGATCGCCCACAATCTCTCAACCTTCTCAGTCACCAAAATCACATAAATACGATTTTGATGTTTCATTAATATATTAAAAAAAAAAAAAAACAGTGAATCAATCATCCTACACAAATCTGAAGATGTGGGACAATAGTCCGCCTGAATTTTTTAGTTGTGTCCTACATATCAGACACTAAAATGCGCATAAGTCTGGAAGATGAAAGATTTTGCTGGGTCTTTGTTTCTTTGTTTGTTTCAGTAGCTCGTGACATTTTTCCCGCAAAAATGTCTTGCATATCTAGACTTTTTGGTATCAAAAAACATATTTAACATTTGATAAGATTTTCTACAAAAAATGTCTAATTTTGTTTGAATTACCTTATATCATTAAAATAGACAAAAAAAGTGAGTTATTATGAATAGATTAAAATAATAAAAAAACTTGATTTTCACGAAAACAATTTAGTTTACGTTTCACACTTCTCATCATAATGACGAAAACAGTTCATAAGAATTATCAGGCTGTAGACATAAGTTAAATGTAAAAAAAAATTAAATTAAATTTGAAATGTAAAATATGTTTTTAAATCTCGGTAAATTAAAGAATTTCACTATTTCCGAATCTCCGCTACTGATTTAACAAAATGCTTAGCTTGTCAACATCGATTCTGTTACAATAAGAATTTTAGCACTGTAAAACCGTTCATAATTTACAAATTCGGTACCAGTGAATCTCATGCTGTTAAGGGCGCCGTTTTATAGACAAGAAATCGCATTTTTGGTAAGACATGAAAAGATGACGGATAATATAAAATATCAGAACACGTACCTTTCCTGTTTTGTCCAATTGATTTATAAAACTACTCAATAATTCTTATTAATTCATGTATAAATAGTATCCTAAAAGCATTCTGCTGGGTGTGGGTATGTTTATAATACCGTATGCTTTTATCTGTTTGTTCAACAGTCGTGTAAAGTTCAGGAAACGTAAGATAAAAAAATATGTTTTTTTTTTTTTTTACTTAAAATGTGTTGTCAGTTATCTCACACCCTGAAGAACACTTGTATGAGTACTACAGTGAAGAGATATCGTTTCTAACTTGCTTAGATTTTTTAAACCATTGGACAAAAAATTCATTGAAAATTGCGCATAAAAACGCATCCCTTAAAGGATGATAACAGGTATAATATGGAATTTCAAAAGTTTAAGGAAATTTGCGCATATTTGACCATTAAATTTTTTAATTTCTTTGTGATGCCATCGACTCCGAACACAAATATCAAGCTTTAATGAGTAATACAATAATTTGCTATTCATTTATATTCAATGTTCTGTTTAATAATTACATTTTATTTCATACAATGAAAATTAATAGACTAGACTAATATTTAAACATTACTTTAATTAAAAATTTACAAAATATTAATAATTTGCTTTAAAAATGTTATTCAAAGTTGATATATGGGAAAATGTCCAGAAACAACCAAAAATCGATGCTTTTCAATTAGGGAAAAATTATGTATCTGCATCACGACTTCTGGACAATTTCTCATATATCACCTTCGGAATAAGTTCATGTTAACGAAGAATTTTAAGGCCTTTGATTTTCTGCGACTTCTTTCCTTTGTCACCGACAGATGCTGCTTCTCTACTATCAGTAGCCATTACTTCATCAGCCCCATCTGATCTCTCTTGCAATTGTGTCTTTAAAGTCTTTTTAATATTAACTATCTCGTTTTCGATATCTGATTTCCTTTGCATTGCTCGAGTTTTTTCTGAATTTGCCCTATGAATTTGGGTTTCCACACAACTCAATACTCCATCACAAGCTGAACACCAATCTTGTAAACAATTAACTATGACATTTATATCTTCGGCACGAATATCTCTACCTATAGCATAATCCACTTCCAACTGACTATTCTTTTGATCCAACTTGCCATGAATAATATCTGCATATATAGCTTCTATTATCAGATCTTCTAAATCTCTAACATTTTTAATATCTAGTTCAATAAGTAATGTATTATAAGGTATACATTTTGACTTTGTTGCTAATGTTACGATTGTAAGGTGTTGCAACTTTTTCTTCTGTGCTGGTGTTAAATCAAGTAAATTGTTGTTATTTGCTAAATAATCTTTATATGTACCATAAGCAAATAATTCCAGTGTATTAAAATATTTCTTTTCAGAAGTACTGGCTAATTCGGAAATATTGGGCATATCTAATAATTCTCCAAAAACATATACACCTGGAGCTTCTAATACCTGCTTTATTAATTCTGTACGGGCTGCTCCTTTTACAGTTTTTGCTAATATAACAAATTGTTCCAGTGCTGTTCCCGATAACGGGCTCTTGTCTACAACCATTGTGATGAAATTATATACACTTGAAACTAATTTTAGCACCTGAAACTTGAAATGGTCTTTGAAGGCCAAATAAAAAAAATTTCAAAATATCTTGCAATCTTGTCAAAATTATTGGAAGATACCCAAAAGGACCAAAACCAAAATTGTGACAGACATAAATATGTTGAAATGACAATTGACAACTGACAGAAGCATAGACAATAATCAACAGAATCTACAGACCTAGATTAGAGAAGTATAAACAACTACAGAACAATATTCCGTATTCTTTTTATGGACCCCAAAGTTTATGAGCTTTGAAAATCACTCATCTATACGCGCCATTATTCCATGGCTAGAAATTGGCCTCGATGATTTGGGATCGAGGGGAATTATCCCTCTTTATCATGCCTCATCCGCCTCATCTCGTGTAGGCCTGGACAGCCTTCGTAGGTGGGCCCCATCCGTCGTCTACCCCGACCGCGCGCCATTATTCTATGGCTAGAAATTGGCCTCAATGATTTGGGATCGAGGGGGATTATCCCTCTTTATCCTGCCTCATCTCGTGTAGGCCTGGACAGCCTTCGTAGGTGGGCCCCATCCGTCGTCTACCCCGACCGCAAATGCGGCCGGTGTAGGCGCTTTGTGGGACCTCCTTTTGTCCTGGCTGGGCCCCGCCGGTTAGGGCCCTTTCTTCTGGCGCTCTTCTTGCTTCGCCGGCTCGTCTGTGTAAACCCCGGGGGTAGTGTCATGTTTATGTGTGGTATGGTTGGGTAGGGTAGTGCGGGTATGCGCCTGGGATGCGCTTTGCTAAGGTGGCCCTTAGGCTAGCGCGGGAGTGAAGGGGAAAGGAGGGTATGGGGGTGTGTATGTGTGTGTGTCGTTGTCTTCGTTTCTTGATCCTGGAGGTTTCTGAAACAGAAAAGGTTTAGCGGGCAGGGGGGGATGTCGTTGGGGTGGTCACCCAGGGTCAAAAAGTTGGTGTCTGGGTCTTTTGTGTTTGTCGGTCACGTCGGGTACGTAGTCAACGGCTTGCCTGAGGAGGTGATGGTTTGTATATTGTAAGTCTCGTAATATGTCATTGTTTCCACCCTTGAGTTAGGCCGCCATTATTCCCTGGCTAGAATTTGGCCTCAATGATTTGGGATCGAGGGGGATTATCTCTCTTTATCCTGCCTCATCTCTTGTAGGCCTGGACAGCCTTCGTAGGTGGGCCCCATCCGTCGTCTACCCCGACCGCAAATGCGGCCGGTGTAGGNATATTTATCCGTTCCGGCGAGGTAGAGCTAGGCTCCGCCCTCCGCTTCGTTCACGAACGCGCGCATTCTATTGGTTCACCCTTTCAGTTAAATACAAACGACGGGGTTTCTGACTCTTATTTTAATTCAGGCACGCTCGAATGAACTCCTGGTAACAACACCTGGTATGAAATAATGGTCAGGTTTTCTATAAATCCCTTTTTCTAGTGATTTATCGGTTATATCTCGGATAATCGGATCGGTCCGGAACTGGTTGCAATCAATTCTTTACCCTCGAAAACTATGAAAATGACACCCTATATGCCCCTACGGTATCCAGGAAAGCTTCGGGTGAATTCGGCAAAAATCGGCAATTTCCGGTTAGCGGTGGTAATTCCTTTTCTATGTCTTAGCCTGGAATATTCGGCTTCTATCTCAGGTATTTGTGGAAAAATGGGCTTTCCAATTTTTCAAGAAAAGTCGGTTTAATCGGCGGTAGTCAAAATTGGTTTTTTGTCTCTAACTTTATACAGTTAAGTTATTATTGCTAGCTTAGTACCATCGGAACAGGTTTAAACAAAATTGGGTAGAATTGACACTTTTCGGTTTTTTACTCGGTCCAGAATTAATATTACCCTGTTATTAATAAACGAGAAAACTACTCTGCTTTAATTCGGTTTTAATTTGAAAAAGAAAACATTATTTTCATTGATTCTGGACTGCGGAAAAATAACACCCTGTATATGTAAAACAGATACAAACTCTTTAATTTGCAAGTTATTAAAGCAACGGAAAATAACGGTCCCCAAATCAGTATTTAATACAAGCAATGGACGGTTCCTAATTTATTTAAACAAAGTAAAATATTAGTTTATTAAACGGTCTAAAAGAAAATTACGGTCCCTGCTCGCGCGCCAAATTTTGTGACGCACTTTTCCTCAGTTCTCTCTATATGGGTCGGTCGGTGAATTTTTTATTACTTTTAACTATGGTGTGTGCACCCCCTGTAACTTAATTTTTGGAAAGGTCTTTTATTCCTCGGACTGGACTCTAAACGGCAAAATTAGTTAATAATTTATATATTCAGTTAGTCTCGGGCGCCAGTTTCCCTATATTTTACGTGGGGGAAACTCCACGTAAACCTTACCCTCGGTTTAAAGTGCACAGGTAGCTACAGTGAAGAAAATAAATTCCAGGGGTCAATTGTATTTCTTTTTGGAGAAAACGGCAGAGAGTAGTTTTCTCAGTGTAGTTTTATTTTAAATATAAAATTAAACGGGAATCCTACAAAACGGTGTAACATTCACTATCTGGTTAGGGTGAATATCACAATTTATTTTAACTAAAAGTCAACTATCAAACAACTTCTTGAGACCTTAGCTTCAAATTCAACTTTGTTATTACTATTAGTTAGTTTTGTTTCCACCTGTATACTACTATATTGTTGTTACATCTATTAAATCTTTGTCATACCCTGCAAGTAGTTATAAAACACCAATGTATTAAACTGTATGCAATAATTGTCTACTATTTAAAATACTATAAACATGGAGAAACTTTGTGTTGAATTGTAATCGTTCTGTGAAAATGTAATTTTAACTGTACTACCTTGTACTTGTATTATTTTCTTTTAATATTGTTGTTGTAAATCGAATCTGGGGTTATCTACAATTAGTTTACTTGGTTGTCATGCATTGGAGGTTATTGTTAGAGAGCGGACAATGTGTGTTTTTAACCCGAAGAATAGGTCAAATTTTGGTAGAGATGTGTACGCGTTCAAAAATGTATTGTGTATAAACTATGCAAAATATAATTATTATGTATAGCAAATATATCGTATTATCCTCGCGAAGATTTGTACCCTTTATTTAAAATCCATAAATCATGTGAACAGGTTAAATAACGAGAAAATAATTAAGTTAATTTAGTTCTAAAGAAATGAAATGACACTCGCGCCCATCTCTAGTCCATCCGTCGACATCGGTTGCGTTTATCGAATTCCTATTGGTCAGAATTCAAACTGCAGCCCTGTTATGAATGGAGCGTGAGTTGGACTATTCTATCATGTGCGTCGCCTGAGGCTATTCGTTACATTGACTTCTAATTTCCAATTAAAAGAACGACACTATTTTTAACCGAACTTTATTTAATAAATATGTAGTATACAATTTCTGATTTTCTAAATATTTTATAACGCCTAAAAATGTATGTACCGTGGAATTTTCGTGAATTATCACGTAAATTTCCGATGCATACCCGACACGCCACTGCGTCATGGATAATGTATCTAGGTTTATGAATGACATATCTATGTTCAAGGTTAAAGAC